GAGGAATAACAGGTCTATTACAGAGAAAGAAGAAGAATGGAGGCCGACTCGAGCTCGGGAAATTATTGGATGATACATTGGTTATTACTGGCAATGACTCATTTTACCAATTTATTAGTTGACTCATTCCCTAGAACTAAAGGCAGAGGCAAGGCCAAATTGGGTCGCTTTCTAGCCACCTGATACTATGTACTTTAGCATTTTTAGGTTTTTTCTTTAAGTATCTCATGTACTTTTCTGTATTTTCTAGTTTTGGAACCATTTTTAGTTATTGTGTGCGTAGGGTATCATGTTTGGGCCCTCCCACACATTGTATCTGTATATTTCTTTTTATGTAATATATTAGCCTTTGGGCTTTCTATATATATATATATGGTGTCGGTTGCAATCTGCTCTGCTAGGGTTTCGCCCGATGGCGAAACCCTGGTTTGATTCCTTCGGCTTTCAATCCATCCTCTTCGAAGATGTTGTTTTCGCACTCGACGAAGACGACGGCCTTTGCCTTTGCGTTCGTCGTCTTTTGGACCTTTCTGCGCCTTTGCGTTCGTCATCTTTGCCTTTGCACTCGACGACGACGACAACGAACAACATTTGGACCTTCGCTTTTGCGACGTATTTGCGCCGCGGTTTCTTTATGTGTGTGTTCATGTTGCAGTTTAGACTCTGTCGAGCTGCGATTTCATTCTGAGCAGTCATCATCTGTGATTCCTCTCTTCTGCACAGATTCGCCCCTGACCTCTGCTGTCCAACTTGCAGCTCTTCTCCTTGCTGTGACTTGTTGTGACTTGCTGTGACTTGCTGTGACTTGTTGTGATGGAGCTTCCTCCTTTTTCGGTTGAACCCGACAAAACTTCTTTTTCTTACGTTGTGGGTAATCCTCGAGGGGAGACGACGGTTGTCTTCCCCTCAAGTTATAAGGAGGATCGTGATGATACAGGTGATTATTTCTTTATTAAGAATGCAAGCACGAAGAGTGGGAAGACAACACTCTTTTTCTTTGAGTCAGAAATTTCAACCCTGACTGGTAAATTCAAATTTACTCTCATTGGGAAATTTCAGAAGGGATACCCAGCTATGGAAGTTATCAGGAAAAATTTTGATGACCTTAAATTAGCAGGAAATTGGAAAGTGGGGCTCATGGATGGGCGACATATATTGATTCAGTTAACCGTGCTTGAAGACTGCACTCGTATTTTCTCCAAAAAATATCTTAATATTGCTGGTAAACTAATAACGCTACTCAAGTGGTCTCCTGATTTTGACCCCAATCATGAACCTCATACTGTACCGGTATGGTTTAGTCTACCTGGTTTCAAGCTGCACTTTTTTTATCATCAGGTTTTTACTCTATTAGTATCATACTTGGGGACTCTATGAAGCTAGATCTACCCACTTTCAACTTTACCAAACCTTCTGTGGCCAGAGTAATTGTGGAAAGAGATTACTTTGCCTAACGTTACTGAAGTCTGGTTGGGCACAACGCATAATGGATATTGGCAACAAATCGTCATGGAGCATAGACATTTTTATTGTTCTCATTGTAACATGTTTGGGCATACTCTTGATAAATTTCATAAGTTTCACCCTAATTTGAAATCATGGATCTAAGGATTTATTTGTACCACATGGAGAGAAAGCCACCACAATACAGATTTTGGTGTCTGATTCTATTGCCCCTGCTGTTATTGTTACTACGAGTGATGTGATGTTGGCACCTTCAAACCCCATAGAAAATAATATTGATGGACTATTACCTACAAATGATAGTGTCCAGACTGATAATCAGGAGAGTCTCGTAGCTTCACTTCTTCAAGAAGTATCCGGTGTAAAAATAACTCATACTTCACATATACTAGAACCTATTCTGAGTACTACGGTTGGTATTCCTTCTGCTTCAGCTCTACCACCCCATCAGACTGATTCTTCGGATGAGGAATGATAGGTCTATTCCAGGAGGAAGAAGAATAATGGAGGCCGACTCCAACTCGGAAATATATTTGATGATACATTGGTTACTACTGGCAATTGCAATCATATTAGCTTGCTCCTTCCCTAGAACTAAAGACAGAGGCAAGACCAAATTGGGTCTCTCTCTCACCACCTGATACTATGTATTTCGGCACTGTTAGAATTTTTATTTAAGTATCTAATGTATTTTCTATTTTTTCTAGTTTTGAAACCTTTTATGGTTTTTTGTGTCGCTAGGATGTCATGCTTGGGCTCTCCCACACATTGTATCTGTATCATTCTTTCTATTTAATATATTAGCATTTTTGGGCTTTCAAAAAAAA